TATATATAAATTGTGTTGGTACTTTGGTTGATTATTTCAGCTAGATCAGAGTTTTCCTCCCCGTTCCATCGCTCGCCTACGCTATCACCTATCCTACGCGTATCTTATATATTCGTCCCCCATCCCTCCCAACCCCTCCCTCCCTCTGTTATATCTGGCATCCTTTCGCGAACGTCCGTACAAATCCTGCGTCGCCCGAGACGTTCTGCGTATCCGACCGGGCATCGCACGCGAAATGTTCAATGTTTTGTCTATCTCAGTCATAAGAATGTCGTATGAACACGCACGAATGATCGATAGGCGTATTGAATCTGCACCCAGCAACACACACACACACACACACACATACACACACTCTCTTCCTCTCTCTCTCTCTCTCTCTCTTTTTCTTTGTTGCGAAATGCGTCTTCGTCCGAATCCGGCTTATCTCGTATCGAAGTCCCGGCTAACGTCGAATAAAGCGTAAAATCATACCGAGAAATTACATTACACGGCAAATCATTCGAATAGGTATCGAAAATTCAACGTTTTATGCTGGAAACATAAAATCAAACGTAAAGAGATCCCTCGTCTCATATCGCAGCTCAAAGATAGAGATCACAAGCGTTTCTCTAGGACTTTGCGTATTATTCGATATAACTATATTACAGCTTCTTTATCTTTGGTTTTCCGCTCCTTTATCTATTCCCTCCCTCCCGTCTTCTATTTACCTTTCCTCTCCCCGATATTATCCGCGGTAACGAAAAAGCAGAGACGCGCGGCAAGATATAATAATTATACGTGTGTATATATATATATATATATATATAGCTATCATATAGATTTTTCATATAATGTGCCGTCTGAGAGCAACGTGAAAACGGAAAGAAAAATTAAGTACCGTAACTGGCGACGCTGTCATCCATCTAATGTCGCCCTCCCTCACGTTTTTCGTTTGGACAATCACAGCCTGGCTGACATTTCTCGAGCGATGCTTACCGATCGGGCGAAGTCATCCGTCGATCCGATGGATCACCGAGCCGCGGTAGCGGTCGCGAGACTTGGCGCGGACGGGGCGATCGCGGTTCCCTCCCCCTCGATGTTCGCGCAGGAACCAACAGAGTGTAGATTATACTTTCGGCCGGAAACTCGCGTGTCACTTAATCCTTAGCGATAATTACAATGATAATTGTCATAACCATAGTAGTAATAAGTGCTATTACGGGAAGGACGAGCACCGTGCGCGCGCGCACGCGGACGGCGCGCGAGTCCGAGGCTCTCTCTCGCCTCCTCGGCGAGCGGCACGCGCGCGCGCGCACGCGCGCGCGTACCTCTCTCCACTACCTGCGGTATATAAAACCTACAGCGCATCGTGTACTTGTTTAAACCTTAAACGTTACAAGGAGAACCGATATCCGGCGTGGATGTCGGATCGGCGCTGAGCCCATGTTCGTCGCGATGATTCTACACGTGTGTGTTTCCTTTCTCTCTCTTGTTCGTCTCTTCTTCTCCTTCCTCCTCATTTTTTTTGTCTTTTTTTGTCTTTTTTCTTTTAAGGTCCTCAGACATTTCGCGAGACGAGCACCCTGTATAATGTGATTGACATTTGTCGTTTTGGGAGAGAGATATATCTCGTCCGTGACGAGCCTGCCTCTAGTTCCGGCTATCTTGCACCGCCGTCGCAGTATCTCCATCGCGATGGCTACGTTCGTCTCGTGCTGATGCCTTCCTCCGGTCGATGCGACGATACACTTCTGCACACTCGCGTGTGCGGCACGGTTATAGAGCGTCGCGTTGCCGTCGGACTGACCGACTGGCAACGAACACGACGAGAGTCCTAGAAGCGCTTTTTGCCGGGATACTTCGCGATAGCTATTGTCTTCGCGGCGCGACGACGTTACCCGCGTCTGTGTGTGTGTGTGTGTGTACATATGTGGGTATGGTCGTCGTATCGGAACGACGGGCTCCGGTGCTCCAGGCGGGTCTCCCCGGGATGATCGGATCCTCGAAATGTTCTCCGCTGCACGCTCAGCGTCCGTTCGACCCTCGTCCTATAGCTCGAACGTAATCTCTCACCTGGCAGTAGGGACAGAGGCTAAACGCGGAGAGCAAAGAAACATGCAGATTCGAACGGGAGTAGATGAAGGGAACGGAAAAGCCGGTGTCTCTGTGTGTCTGTGGGTGTTCGTGTGTGTCGACGAAGGGTTCGTTATCCAAGCACCCGTTTCAGCGTGCCTCGTCCGGCTCTCTCGGATTGGGTTCAGCGCAGAACATCCTTCGCTTTCGCTTCAGCCTCTTCGCCGCCGCCGCGCACTTCAACGACGGAGCCGTTGTCCTACTGACCTCTAAATTGTTATCCTCTAATGAATTAACTAGCTAGTATACTAAGTTGTTACGATGGAGAGCGTTGTAACGGTGATTCAAACTCGTCACTCCTGATCGTCGAGCGTCCATCGAGCTCACGTTCTCGTACGACATCTGCAATTCAAAACGAACACATTACGTGAGCCTCTGGATATTGGAAGGTGACGACGATGTTGTCGCGCTTGCAAGCTCGCGGGGTCAGTATTGACGAATCGAAAATGGTGCTGATATTTTCGGATAAAAAATTGCTAGGTAATCGAGTTAAAACTCCGAGAGATGGATATGTTTTCGCGTCTGTAAGGAGCTTACTCTGTAATTTATGATGTAGGGTGCGACCCGTCCAGATTTTCTAGGCTAGGACGTGGGTTAGTATGGCCGGCTGGCGTCCTTGGGCCTTTTCAACTGGACTTTTAATCGTTTCATCCCTATTTGGAAGCCGTTCATCGCTTGGATCGCTGCTTGCGCGCTCGCCGGATTATCGAACGACACGAAACCTGAAAATACCGAACGCTGAGTCCTGTGTAACAGTCTTTCCATCCCTCAAGAAAACTCCCGTCCAGATATATATAATCTGTATGACACCCGTAGACGCGCGTGAACAAATGTTTGCTTACGCAATATAGAGTAACAAAATGGCGGTAAGAATATGTGTTCGGTGAAACTAAAGACGAGTCGTTTAAAATTAATTAAGTGCAATATATGAAATAATCCCTTTTGAACTATTTATGTTGCGAGCTACTTGTATAACGTAATAATGGACTGGCCATTTATACGAGAAGAGTAACTATATTCCGACAACGATCACTCGGCAACTACGATATAATCCGGGTGAGCCAGATTTTCTGTGGATACTAAAAAGTTCCCGCGGACTGGATATTATCCAAGTTTCGCCGGAAGGGCAGGTACACGATAACGAAGCCCTTAAACGGCAGCGTTCTCTGAAAGATCGTCACGACTTTCTCGGTTTAAGCCAATTTTGACCATTAACGTCGATCCCATTTCAGCCGTTTCGCCTGACCAAACCAAATCCTTCGTCTTCCGCCTATCCACGCTCCGCCCCGCAAATTACTTTTACTTCGGGGCCGAAGGGCACCTTGATTATTTTAACCTTTCGTCCCGCGGAAAGGGCTCATCTCGCCCGCAGGAGGAGATAAACTTCACCGAGTTCCCATCACGCGCGACATATCTCCCTCGCCAATATCGACGATCGTAATTATTCGACGGATTTCTCGTCGCCGCGTCAAAGAGTCGCCCGAAAAGAAAAATGCTTCAAAGCGTTATAACCTCTCTCTCCTCCCGCATATTTTTCCGCTGCGGGCATAATTATACGCGCGGGAGAACGAAAAAATGAACATAATCAAACGCGAACATAATGACACGTCGTTACCTTTTCCGCGAGCCTCGCCGGGGAGGCGACGAATACACGAGCGCGAATATATGAATTTGCACATAGGCGGTACGTAGACCAAGGACCGAATGGAATCGTCCAATTATCCGTATCCTCATACTCTCGGATACGATTAATCAAAGGAACGCCGGCGGCTTTTATCCCGGCATTCTCTGTTTCGGTCCCCTCTATATCTAAAAAAGAAGAGCGCGCGCGGTTTGATTTTGGTCCCATTGAAACGGCATTCATATTCAGCCTGTCCAGTCCGTCCGCTAATACGAGAGCGGGACGAATTAAATTTCCATGATTAATCCACCACTGATTGGAAACATGTAGAGTCATTTAGAGCGGCGTAGAGCGTGTGACTGATTGAAAATCATAATCACAGAAATATCGCCGCGATACTTTTTACATGGCGGCCGCGCATCAAAGTGAGAATATCTTTCAAAGCGAAAATATCATCGCCGGGCCTTTATAACGTCTCTACGTATTACCTGTCGCTGTATAATTTTCGTCGTAATTAAAATCGTACGATACGCAAGATGTGGCGACGCACGCACCCCATATCGTCGGCGCCTTGTAGCTGGGCGCCCGTCGTCCTACCTGGAGGCTGTCGTTCCCCGCACGTCGTCGCTCTGGCTCTGAAATTTGTTCGCGGGTGTGCCGCCGCACTTACCGAAGCATTTGCTCTGGTTGGTCGCCCGGTCGATGAAGACCTTGGAGGAGATGACGTTGCCAAACGGGAGGAACATCTGCATGAGTTCGCCGTCACCGAACTCCTGGGGCAGGTGGTAGATGAAGAGGTTACAGCCCTCGGGTCCTGAGATAGAGCATCCTACCATATAAATCAGAGCACATCTAAACATCTAAACTTGAAGTATAATACTCAAGTTAGAATGTTAGTTCTGGATGAGTTTTGTTCTTCGCATCATAAATGATCCAGCGCGATACGAGAGCTTCGACCCGGCTCAGCGTGGTGCGCCAAGCGGGTGTTGCTTTTTGTTCTTCTGATTCTTTTCGTCCGATTGTTTTTCATGAATGAAGATGAATCTGCGATCGACTCTCTCTTGAAACGACGAATGCCGATTTGTCTCTTTTTTTCTCTTTCTCTCTCTTTCTCTCTCTATCTATCTATCTATCTCTCTCTCTTTCTCTCTCTGTCTCTCTCGTCCGCCCGTGCGAGATGATGATGGCGAATGATTTTGTCACCCGACGAATGACGCGAGAAATGACGTGAACATGAGTCAAACGAAGAAGTTAGAAAACGGAGTGAATGGCGGAAAATGATGTGAAATGGCCGAACGTTGAGAGCAATGATTGGAATAAAAAAAATCCGTCACGAGGAGCATCATCAGCTCGTGACTACTGATAGAAATCTCCCGGTTCAAGTAACGTTGAGTATTTATACTTTCAAATATACACACACAACACTAGGACTTACAACACAATGACGGATGAGGTGATGGATACTGAAATGAGTGAATGGGTATAGAGGCGTGGTGACGATGATAGTGATGACACTGATTACGATGGTGCGATATTCCCGCATTCTCGCCAGACACGATAATCCGTCGCTTTCTTTTCTTTTCGTTCTCTCTCATCTTACATTGATATTTCAAACGGAGCGTGCCGTCACCCTGCGCGAAAACTCGTCTCTTTTAATTGCGCCTGGCTTAATTATAAAAAAAGATCAATGCGATGTAAAATTGACAGGAATCGATACACCGAAACGCGATGTAATTATCCCGAGACCTGTCAAAACCGAGGAGCTCTCACAATTACTCCACACGGTGTCTTATCCATGACGCAGTTCGTATAACTTAGTTTCCGCGCGATCATCTCGTCGCGCCTTTTCTTTCGGTGTTAAAGACATCGAGGTTTAAGTCGGCCGACGGGGAAAATCTCCCGTGGGAGGAAGGGGCGACGGAGGGGGCGAACAACGGCAGTCCAAATAAGGATTTAGCTAATTTCACTGAACTTTATAACTCCGACGTCAATTAGCGGCGATTATGACCGTAGAAACTTCTGCTCTCTTGCCCAGAGCTTCCCGACTAACGGACGCATTTAAGTAATGAGATGGCTGCCACTCAACTTTTAGGGTGCTACTCATCGCGACCCGTTCGCCCCTCTTTCTCTCGCGAAAGATCTTTCGCGGAGAGATTCTGCCGGATACGCTCGTCGAATCATCGCAAAGTATAATTGTCCATTTCAAGCCCGATTATGACTTCCAACGCGTGCTCAATGATACCGTCGCATGACTCGTTGAGCGCGTTTGCCGGTCAATAAGATTATCATCGTGAATCCGGACGAGTTTAGAAGCGACATGGGGCGAAATTTTACGGTCGGTTTTACGAGGATATTTTCATCCGATTCGGTGAAACTTTAATCGCAGTTGTCGAAAATAGCGCATTACGAAAGTTCCTTCGCAGTCGAAATTTGATCCCCGGGATGCAAAAAGGGACAAAAACTTTCCCATCTTCGAGCATTACCGGATGTTTCACCGATGACTATCGTATAAATCGCGCAACGCAAAATCCGCGACGCGATCGTTTCGCGATTTACGAGCCGGTTTCTTACGAAAGAGCGACATTCCGAATCGCGAACTTAATACCAACTTTCTCGCCAATTATGAATTAATGGCGTTGTATACTTGTTGGCGTCTCGAGAAATCTGTCCTGCGGCTTACGCAAAGAGTGACAAACTCTCTCCCTCTTGCTCGAAACGCCCCGGTAATAACTCGATCGTGGCTGTCACGCGAAACCCAAATTAGCACGAGTGTCGACGGGTTTCCGGTTCCGACTAGGGAGAGCACGGAGGGGAATTGCGGTGGACGACGAAATCACGAAGAACGAGCCATAAATTAAAGCCCGTCGCGATCGTTGATCCTGAAATTGGTTTTCGCCTCTCTAATTGGCACACACGAGGTACGTGCACGCGAATCTAATGAGAACAGCTACCCCCGTCTGCTTCTATCGAGAAGTAAACGCTGCCCGTGAAACATCAAGACGCCTAATGTCGCGCGGTCATTTCTGCACGATCCAATTCAACACACGCTTCAAGGACGAATAATCGAAACGTTATCGAACCGAATTTGTGCTTTCTTTCTCCCCCTACCTCTTTCTTTTTATTTCTCGGTAAAACGTATTAATTTTCAAGCGCGATCCCAGCTTTCTCAGCGACCCAAAAGTATGATTATCGTCGAGTCCGACAATTTGGCGAAGTTCCCCGGTGTTGCCGATCGCGAAGCGAATCTCTTGGCGATTTCTCGCCAAGTCTCTCGCATATCACCGCGGTATCGTAGCGAAGCAACAACCAACATCGGTCGAGACAGAGCGCAACACCGAGCACAGCCACTGACATCGAGTGCAACGGCGAAACACCGATGAACATCCGTTGACGTAAAGAACAGAAAGTAAAATATAAGGAAGGAGCTATCCGTACAAAATAGTCCAGTCATGAGTCAGAGAGAAGAAATGTATACGAACACCGAGAACATCGTGTATAAGACGTATAGAACACCCAGAACAACGATCAAGGAGCTTATAAAGTAACACGGAGCAAGGATAATTCGCGAAGCGACAGTCAATAGATCGATACCACTGTCATGCAATGATGACAACAACGATGTCGATCCTCTCTCGGCTTCCCTGGATCGTTTCGTCCGATATTGTGGCACGTCTAACGACACGTAACGCAAATTCCTGTCAAGGATGAAGTGGCTCTGCACACACACATCTTTCTTGGATTTTTCACCAGAAGTTTTCCGCGAGATCGGCGATATTACAAGCGCTGCTCCGTTTTTCGTCGATTCGCGCTTCCTCCCTTTACACTCGAACGCACGGAAAAAAATGTACGAGATATATGTTTTCGACCCTCCGGCTCGGACCCTATTACTCATGTAAAAATAACGCCGTGTAAGCATCAGCACGGTATAATATAACGCGATCCCTCGTCGATGTATCGATTAATTTACGTCGAGCTGATTTTTGATCGAAATCGAGTGCTCGCAGGAATGCTCGTCGGATTGATATACACTCGAAAAATGGATTTATTAATAGCCACGTACATATCCGAGAGCGGGATATACGCGTTAATAAATGCGCGAAGCTTTTCACCGGAGATAAATTCTATTAGAAATCTCTATTACCGCTGTGAAGTATCGCGTGTTCCGCTTACAATTTAATCGCGGCGCATGGGAAAACGTCAGAACCCATCGACGAGACGAAAAGATCAGGTGGAATGGGAACGGAAGAGGGTGGGCAGAGAGGAAGGACGCAGCGGTCGGAGGGAAAAGAGCAGAGGGTTGAGGCCGGATAAAACGTAGGCGGGATAGCGCTGTCGCGGTAAACTTTCCATTATCCTGCGATGTAACAACGGATCGCCGGCGGGCGTAGCGGCAAAGTAATTAAAACTTTCGTTTTATTTGCATTATCTCATTGCAAGGCGTCGTATATTCTAATAATGGCGAGTTGTTAATTGCAATTAGGCGCTGGTTCGCTCACCCCTCTTCTAACCCCGGGACTTGCCCAGTCGACTTTTTCCCTGCCTGCCTTTGGCTTCGCAAAGATGGCGTAATAAACGCGAACCAGCTCTCCCTGATATATTTGCTAGGTGAGACGGTCCCTTTGACCGATGGCGTTCTTTTATTCGGTCCGGTGGTTTTTAATTAACCGCAATTTTGGGGGGGGGGGGGATATCGCGGAAATTACTGCGAACTCTCTCTCGATGAAAAAGAAATTTGACGAAAACGGTGAAAATAGCGTGATCGATTAAACTAAGAAAGACGAGCTCGCGCGCGAAGGTGAAACGGAGCGGAACATCATTCGCGGGTAGTGCCTTCCCAGTCGCTTTATTTGCCTCGGTATGGAATTAACCGGTACGAGCCGACGGGGGAAACTCCGTCTTGCACCTCGTTGAACGCCGACGAGGGATAATTCGTGTCTGGACGTGTACGGGACGTGGATCTACAATCTCGGGTCTACAGTCGTTCGTGTTTACAGTCAACAGTTAGACGTTGATGAGCGTGTTGTACTTACCTTCCCTCTGCGTGGGCGCCACCGCGGTCATCGGCTGAGGAATAGCCTGAGGAAACTGGCCGTAGACGGCGGGGTAAGCTGCGACAATAACAAATAACAAGTACATCATGATCTGTCCACATCTAGAACTGTGCGTGCCGTCCCCCTTTTAATATTCGCCCCTCCCTCTTTCTTTCCCCGCTCCGTACACTGCGATCCGCTCGCGTCGACAGTAAGAGCCGGCGACAGCTCGCAACAACTACCCGAACGTAGGCATCGTAATTCAATGCAGCGATAGCGCATACATAATGGACGATGACAGTAATAAAAGCCGAACAGTCCAATAAACGTCAACAGATTCAACAGAAATTGCGTTGCCGTCGCTAGACAGATTACAACGGCGTAATTTATGACCCTGCGTTTCAGAAGCGCGGGCACAACGGCCATTTATTCTTGCGATTTGCCGAAGACCCGAAACGAAGCTCGAAAAGGACACGAATATCTTTGTATTATTTCCCGCGTTTGCGGGGATCCACCGTAGAGATGAATTACGCGACGGATTGTCAGGGCCTAATTTTCGACACGAGCGGAAGTGATTTCCGAGAACTAGCTTTTTTATTTATTCAGCAAAATGTAAATCCAATTGAAAATACAATTTCAGTTGAAAGGGAAAAATTTATTCGAAAATACGGGAAAATTTATCATTAAAATCGAGAACAACGCATCGTTATTAACGCGGGACGCTCGGTCGGTTTAAAAGCGAGCGGATAGGAACGGTGATGCCAGGTGACATTCATCATGGTGTTTCTGCCGACAAGGGTATTCGTCTCTCAACGTTCTCACCATTCCGCGACTTTCAACACGATACTTTTGTGCCGTCGCGAAAACGCGTTGCGAAAATCCGGTGCATGCGACATTAGCCGACATCCGATATCTCTTCAAAGCCGATTGAAGCGTCGTGTCTCATTAAAACGCGCCTTCTTGCGCTCGGAACGCAAAAGTCGTCTGTACAATCGGTACAGAATATCCCGTTGCAATTTGCGAAACTAAATATTTGAACGATTGAGAGGAGCGGAACACAAATGTTAAAACGGAAGATTTCGCTAAAGAGAGAGGACATACGATACAACGCGTAAGGTTCGGAAATTGGAGAGACATTAAAACACACAGCGTTTTGTTTAATATTATATTACGACGAATTGGAGAGAGAGGCGCCGTCGATGTAACGAGATTTTTATTACTACGAAGTTCGACTGTGTCCCCGATTAATGAGATGACGTCCATATAAGGGTCCCGCGTTCGGTGTAATGAAATTTTAATGGGACAAATTTAATTCGAAGGTCTGACGAGGTTGGTACGCGCGTTGCTACGCGATTTCATTACGCCAGTTACGAGAATTCAAGAGGAGACTCGCGCGCGGAGAATGAACAAAAATGCGCGATTGGTAAAAATTTGGAAAATATTTCGCATTGAACGAAAGCCCGCGCCGTTTTAATACGATCCGCGCGTTTGATGACGACAATTGGTTAGTCTGTAAATTCGGATCGCACGCGATAAACGCACGAATACTGGCATTATATATCGGGGTAGAAAGCAAGTACGTCGTTATTAATTATAGCTTGATAAATATTTAAAACGCTCGTGATTGATACCTGTTTGTGACGGATAGGCGAGCGTGCTCTCAGATCGGCAGAGGCGAATTTTCGCTCCGGAATTAATTATTTCCGTGCAAACATCGCTTTAATATATTCCGATTGACGTTACCCGAGGCCCCCGATGGATCAACGTTTGGCGTATGAAATAAATACGCCATCATACGTCGGCCGCGTCACGCTCAGATAGAGGTACACCGTTATTCGGGATTGCTTTTTTTCCACTCGCTGATCTCGATGGCGTGTGTGTACACTGGCCGAAAATACATAGAAAAAAATATACGGCTTTTGAATCCTCGGTAAATACGACTGGGTGCGCTTCCTCTCTCTCTCGTTCGCACGCGTTTGTTATGACTCGAATTTGTTGAATTTCCATCGAAGGGGGCCGGTGAAAAATTAATCAGCGAAGCGGGAGCGCTGATAAGTAATAACTTGCACGTTCCCTTTCGGCTCGCTTTTGGCCGGTATTTCCGACGAGATCGAGTGGCGCGCCTCGCTCGACACGCGTAAACGCGGAATTCGTTCTCATTACCGACAGTGATTGGAATGTAATAGAAGTATAGGTCCATCGAGACGTTGATTATCCGTGAAACGAGATCATCCATTTTGCCGGACGTTATTGGATCATAATTTGCGCCGATGCGCTGCACTTTGACGCAGCGGCGTCGACGGCGTCGATGGCGGATATTGGTGAACATGCACGAACGAAAGGCGGGGATGAGAGGGTAGGGTTGTATTACGTGTAAAACTACGATATAATATATGTACACGAAGTACATTTAGAAGGACACCGAAGTACATCGTAGCACCACAGCAGAAGCATTATAGAACGAAACGTTGACGCGTACACGATCATGTGTATACGCATGCGGCCATAGTTGCATGCAAACAACCAGCAACGCGATCAGCGGAATCGAATTTTTCGCAGGTAAGTGCTCCGGCGCCCGGGTAAAAGCATGTAAACGTTCATCATCGTCGGAAACACAGATCGCGATAGGCAACATCCGGCCGAGATGACGCGCGCTACGATAATACAAAGTACGAGTTTACGAAATTCTCGCAGCGATGCATCACACGTGTTCTCAGCCGCGCGATCCGTTCTTGTAATTCGATCCCGCGTTATGGGCGCGACGGTCGATATTACACGTGGCTCGCGCGAAAACTTTATTTATTTATTCGACTCGAGGTAAATCCGCGATTGACAGCCGTGAGAGCCTGTTTGGATAGGACTGGATGGGCGAGACGCGCTACAGTCATTACACGGAGGGGATGGGCGGGTAGACAGAGCACCTTTGACAAGCCGTAGGTAAAAATTGGAACTGGAGAAACACTTACCGGCCACTCCAGCATAAGCTTGCATTCCAGGATATGCGGCGGCATGCTGAAGTGCCGCCTCCCCGTTGGGCAGCCCCTGCGCTGGAATGGACAGATGGAGGGCATCTACACTTCAGTAAGCTCAGCTCTTATCGGGAAGAGGGCCTAGCCTAAAGGCCCCTGTCGCAATACCAGTAGGCCAATCGATTCTACCGGCTGTACTCGGTAATGATTATCCGAACAGCGATAAAGGTCGAGGATTAATACAAGTTCGACTATAGAAATAACCATATGTCGCCTAAGAACGTGACATTATCCCGACCGCGCGGTATGTAATGTCGCGATCTCCGTCAAGCCTTAATGATTTAACAGTGTAGGGAAAATGACGATTTGCTAACTTTTATAAACTTGTGTCAAATAATAAAACGAGTCGAGCCTCGTATTAGAGGCTTTAAATAACAGTAAATAATCGTTTGACTTCAATCTGTCAACGACAGTAGATGATATATATTTTGGATATATCGTGTGTAATTTTCTGATATTTCTTCTCATAAAAAATTACACAATTATACGGTAAATGTTTTTATTTTCCTATAAAACTCATGTACGATATATTTAAAAACACACACAATTCTAATTTCTCATATTGCAGTACTCTTTTTACACGAATGAATAAATATAGTGATCATGGGGTAAGATGATGTATCATGTGTAAATATTATATACGGATAACATTACGTATATTTTATTAAAAAAAAAATATATATATATATAATTATAAATAGTTGTTTTTTTACTCGTGTTTTTGCCTGGATTTTATTTTCTTTAAATCACATTGTCACAAATCATATTTTTTGCTAAATACATTAAATGATATTTTTATTTGTATTTTATTGTGTTGTACGAACATCATAATAACCAAATAATGTAGAAAATTTGTGAAAATTATTTTTGATACGCATAAGATGTATTTATTTTTCGTCATTTTAACCACATATGGAGGCAACATGACGGCACGTTCTCACAAAATTTAAATAAAATAAAATCCCAATTGATTGGAAATGTTTCAGTTTTTCAGCAGATGATAGGCAAGGCTTTAGCTACGCCGAAAAAGAATGACCATTATCTTATGAGAACGACGAAAAATTGACAATTCTCAAGGTCGTCACTTCACCCCTCTCCCACTACCGAGGCAATATCGAGATAACGAAATTGACTCCGTCATTGAGACGCGATTCTCGAAATTCCATGAAATTCACGTGCCGATCGTACGGCTGCGCCGTTCGAACACTGCAAGTCACGTGCGAAACTTCGGGTGGGTTTCGCCTCATTAATTTCAGGCGAACAAACGCCGTGGAGAGCGCGGCTTCTCTCCAAGGTGGTATGACGCGAGCGGGGTCGTGTACATACCACCCGCGGCTTGTACTTGGCCTGCGCGAAGTTATTTACATCCCTGAGGAATAATAAAGTCCGCCGCCGATTGGCCGGGCATTGCGCAGGGGCGGCACGCTGCGCCTGAGTTGATACTCACGTCCCGCATAAGTCTGCGGTATTCCGTTGGTGTAGACACCTGGATCCGAGCCTGCCGGCTGGCCGTTCGGCGTCTGAGCGGCCATGTTAAAATTCGGCATCGTCGGCGACGGTAACGACGGTATCGCCCCGTTCACCGGTTGCCCTGTGCCGGTACCTACGAGCAAACCTGATCAGTACACACCGAGGTTACCCTCTTGCTTTTTCAACACCGACCTCGGTCGTCCTCTGTGCGCGAAGCATTCGGGATGCTTTGCTTTATTTTTCGCTTTCCCTCCTTCTTTCTTTCTTGCCCGCCCCGCCATCCTCTGTTATTTCGTTCTCTTTCTTTCACCGTCAGATGTAATTAACAGCGGGATCGTTAATGATCCGTATGCTTCGCGCACTGTTTGAGGGGTTGGACGAACTACGGACCGTCGGGTTGTTGATTTGATCCATAGAACGGAGTTATGCCTCAAAGGACTCTGCACGCTCGCGATTTCTCCGCCCGCAACGCAACTTTCGCGCGATTTACGGAATATCAGCGCAACTTTGTGCGCGCAGCTCTCTTTTATATATATATTTTTTTTTCTATATCACGGCAAAGTTTACGCGAAAGGTCGCATTTGTCGGTAATAGTTTGTCCGCGGGCCGCGCCGTCGTCGACGATGTAATCCGGATCAGTGATCAAAGCGCGGCGCGTCGCGTTAATAACGCATTGATCTCCACCGGTGACCAACGTTTGGTATCGTGTCAATATTACATGACGTTGGTAATGAGATATAACTATGTTTAGGCAATATCTGTTATTTCCATCGTGTTGATATACGATTACGGTATAATATACACAGTCGAGAGAGCGCACACACGAAGGGGATGATGAAGGTTGGACGTGACATGCGATCCGACTGAGCGTAACTCTTTGAAAAGAATAACGTAGAGGACGCTCTTGGATGTAGGATCGAGTGTTCGCTATTGTTTCGAAATTAATGACGCGCGACGACGATGATGAGCAGCCATTGCGAACGCAGGCTGGATGCTGCGTTCTTTCCTTGGGGAAAACGTTACGACCGGCGGATAAAAGCGAGTCCCACGGCTGCGAAAGGTGGAACGGCGAAGAATCTCGATGCTACGATAACATCCGGATTGCAGTGCGCGCACAACCGACGTGCATCGGATATGACGATACGTCGTAAACTTAAACTCCCGTGACTGCACGATACGCGTTGTTGATTCGGCCGTAGTCAAACGGTTCGTATACGAGGTGAGAGATTTTTACAGCGGCTGGGTGGCGCGCGAAGCGCCGTTCGATTCGTTGTTTCGGAATATACGGGCGCGCGCTTTGTCTCGTTAAGCTTCGCGCGATACCGCGAAAACCGCGAGCCACCCCGAGCCAGCCCGAATTATTTCCTCCGAATATTTCAACGTAAAACGCTGAACGTGAAACGCGCTTTTTCTCCCCGTATTTAAACGATCGTCTTGAGGGCAGTCTCGATGAAACGTTACATTTTCACGCGATACTTCGAGAAATATGCAATCACGCTGGTCAACAAAATCACACATTTATGCGCTGAAGACGGAAAATGACAATAAACGACAATAAAGGAATTATTTTGTCATAGAAATAAATAAAGATTAATTTTTATGAATTAATAGTACGAGAGGTATGAGAATGAAATTAAAGAACATATTTTAATTATATTTCTTATTTTCACGCTGTCAGAAAAAGTAGATAGATCAACTGAATTTCTTTTAAATATCACATTATTAGAGATTTTTTTTAGGAAATAAAAAACTTCCCTACATATGTCTCATTCATAAATTATTAGAGCATCGCCGAGCGATACTAAGGTAAAAAATTAGCGTTAAAAGAGATGTTCTTGAAGACATTCCTTTTTCTCCACATCACGAAAACCTGGCTGAGAGACGCGAAAGGATTCTCAGAGACCCGCCGGTGCCACCCTGTGCAGAATTTGCGGCATCGTATCGTTCGGAAATAAAAGCACGCTGCTTCAGTAATCTTCGGTACGGAGTAAAGCGGATGGACGGCGGGGCGGGACGTGGCGTGGAGGGGAGGTTGGCGGAGAAATAAAATATTATTTCCCTATCAAACGGTATTACCTTCCGCTCGACGAGACTCGACGTATAACGGAGCCGATTTCCGCGTTTACTTTACTTTTCTATAGCACTTCGTCGGTCTCGCCCGCTTGCATCGCCCGGCGAGGCCGGGAAGAAGGATGGAATGAGAATGAGAGAGGGAGGTGTGGATGCGGAAGGGCAAGGCGTTTTCTTTGGCTTTACCTCTTCCCCTACGACGACGAGCTTTCGATAAAGTTTCGCGGTACCGGCAATATCTCCCGCTTGTGTGGGTGTGTTGGAGTCACGTTCGATGAAAATGTTGTATTGATTTACGAGTCGGTTATAAGGCAACCGACTGTACGCCTCGCGAGAACCCGGGGAAACTATAGCCGGCGCGGCGCGAGGAGATGTTTTATATCACTGAAGTCAGACGGCCTGATGGCGGATAATTCGCGCGCCCTCTCGTCCTCCTTTCCCGCAGAGAAGAGTCCGCTTTATCGGATTCGCGTGCTGTTAGTTGATTAATCCGCGGAATTGATTAATTCGGACCGAACAAATGTATTTCGCGCGCGCGGTCTCCATAAATTGTCATCGACACGACGGACGCTTTTTATGGATATTGGAGAAGCGTGTATGTTATTTAAAGGGAACATTGTAACGTTTTGCACATTTACTCGTAAAACAGAACGCGCGTATGGATGTGCTTTTGGCTGAATATTAAAACTTCTTCCTCGAGGAACAGTTCGGCGCGAGCTCTCCTTTCGCAGACGTTCACGAGCGTCTTCTTCGGCCGGGTGTAAACTTACCGGAAGTTGGCGGGACTACGGGGTTTGGCATGCCGTTCAATGCGTGCGGCAATTGTCCAGCGGCTAATGCGGTCATTGGATTGATATACGTTCCTTGTGCAGTCGCGGCTGCCATAAGCGCCGCTTGCTGCTGCAATAAGGAAAATACCTTATTCAGAACGAATGTTCTCCCTGGCATGTCTTTTTTTTTTTTACTATTGTGCGTTGGCGGAGAACACTACTTCGGGAAGGGAAAGCCGCATGATCTTGAAAAGTATCCGCACAACCAATGCTGGAAAAACTCGTATAATGAAGAAATATCATGATAGCGCAAATATGAAATACAGAATATTTTGAAAACATCTGAAGAATAAAATAATTCTTGATTTAATTCCGTTTGTTTCGCCGCCAAAAACATCGGCGGAGGGGGGTGACTTTCCTTTCAATGTTTGGCATTTTCATAACTAAAATTCAAATCAAAATTTTGTTACAGGCCATCTGAAATAAAGGCGACATTTTGTCGTTTATCTGCTAACCATCGGACTTTATTTTCGATCGCCAACGATATCTTGACATTTTTGTTAAGAAACTCAAACTGAGTGAGAGCATTCTTGAAGTGTCTCCCTGAAGAATACAGTTCGAGAAATAATTTTGAAAGATATATTTTATAACGTTAAAAATGCGTGTGTACAGAGTGAGAGTATAGCTTTTAATAGAATTCTTTTGTCACTTTTACGTGGGCTGCGATCGCGCAATGTTGGGAAAAACTGAACCGCGAGGGGTAATTGTTGAGCGGACCTCTTTGCATGCCGGCGTTAACGCGACGGGATCGAGTTTCGGCCGATCGTTTTCGAGTAACGAGGGACGAGCCATCGCAGATTGTGAGTCGCGGTAACGAGGACAACAAGGCGGTAATGCGGTAACGCGAGAGCCATTAACGGTAACACGACCCACCTGAGCGTAAGCGCTGTAAGCGCCGAACTGATTGAAGACGAAGGGGTTAAGAAGGCTCATGTTCCCGGCCATTTGCTGCATGCGTCTTAGTTGTCTCTCTTTATCAGTGTCTGCGAATTTTACCACTATGCTGGATGACGCACCCTGCAACAGATAATGCAACTTCTTCATTTTTCTCCCGCAATATCGCGATTTTTACGGCGGGTCGCCATTTTTACGACAAACGAGAAGTACGTGTACGCTTTTAACGATCCCCGCAACGAGCTGTACTTTATAGCACGTATTATAGCCAACGTGCGGGAAATTGTTTTAATCGGATTGTTATAACTATAACGAGCGACCCGGGATTTATCCGAAGGGCCATCAAATATTACTATAAACGTGTGTTCGCTAATAATACAGAGGACTTAATATGAAGAATGAAAGAATAAGTAGTTGCTAAATTAAATTTCCACGTTTCGGCGAACGAGAGACCGGAAAAAGTATATTATTATTATATTATTTAATATAGTCCAAATCCTGTTAGTTAAAATTTCATGAGATAATTGGTATTTAGCGAACGTACTTAGTGTGCGCACGTCCAAAATTTCACTTCGTAATTCGTTTCTTTTGCATAACTCTCAGTTATTAATGTTAGAGCTTATCCTAGTAGAAATATATAACATTAAAATAATATACGGCAGAGCAATCGAGTCACGTAAGAAGCGGAACGATAATCCATATGATATTTACTAAGGTAAAAGGACACAAAACGTGCGACGCAAAAGCGATTCACGGTCCTCTTGCATAAAAAAAAGACATCTCCCTTTTGAGATGCTCGCGGGGATATGTAAGGCGATGACGTTCTCACGACGTCTAAAATATAAATGGAAAGGCAACAGGTGGTCAGTGGCCATTGTGGCTGCGGAGAAAAGCTCGGCTTTCGGGTTCCCGGTGATACATTATATTCACGTCATCAATGCAAATGCTGGGCGTTCCTGAGTTTATATAACGGTTGTAATGTTACAACTCGCGTAACGAGACTTTTAGCTTCGGTCACGCGACTTCGCATGGCGCACTTTGTCGTGCTTTTTCTCGCGTGCACTTCTACCCCCCCCCCTCCCCCCCTCATTTCTCTTACCTCTCTCTAAGCAGCATATTTAATTTCTCTCAGCATTCTCCATTTTATCCTAATTAAGAGGCGTAAAGTGACCACAGTAGATTATATAAAGTAAAAATTTTTTCGCGCATTTTCTCCTTCTCTCGTGACTTTGATGACACGGATAGTTACAGCTTTTGTTGACGCGACACACTAGCTAAGTGGTTCTCTCCGAATTTGTGCATTGACACTAAATCGATACTATCATGATGGACGATCCTTCCTTCCTTTCGTACACGGTGGTCCTGGAGATGTATAATCGGCCGTAGTCAGAAATTGTGTTACACATATCAACGGGGAAAAATAAATGTCGAAATTGTGTATTGAGTGAATTAACAGAATTTATAGTAAATGAGTTTGTTTGCTCTGAAAATATTTATATGCGTGTGAAATAGCTAATTGAATGAAGATTAAATTGAATTTTTCGATAAACGTGTAAAATTCTAAAACAAATAAAACCAACAGATGCGTATATAATAAAAATGAATGAAGATAAGATATCAATTTACCGTTGGAAATTTAAATTAGCGACATTAAATTGAAACCTTCCTGAACAACGGGAAGGCGCTAATCGAAATGAATAATTGAACTTAACCGAATAACCGTGAGGACGGATAAATATTAGACGGAGCAACGACTGTTCAAGATGAATTGTTTAAATTCGCCGGTGCTGAAAACACTGTAGACGGATAACAAGATCGGGAGCAAGACTGTGACGAAGAGTTTGGATTGTTATGCATTGGGGCGTATATCGATAATCGGTCGACCGTCTTCGGTATCCCCCGACAAAAGGCTCGGAGCCGTTATTCATCAGCGAAGCGCGTACACCGGAGCCCGGGTACAATTGCTTGTAATTTAACGACGAGGACACTGTCAGAGTCGGACCGGTAACGCGATATATCCGCCCGACAAATTTCCACGAAACGTCACCTTGTGATACATCGTGTCCCGTTCCTATTAGATCGATCGAGACGTCGTCGCCTCGGTGGCTTCAAAGGCAAGCGCGTTTTCAGCATGTGCGCGCACCGCCCGGCATCCGCTCCGACGCCCTCCGTGGTAATGCATGTACCGCGCGCGTTAAATGAAAGAGGGGACGCGCGACGCCAATCGACGCTGTCAGAAACACTCGCGCGCTCGTGTGTCGTCGCGCCAAATTTCGCTTTTATTCTGTTTTTTTCTCCCCCGCCTATACGAATAACGGCTGTTCGGGCGTCCAACTGAATTTACGCATTTCCTCCGCCGCTTCGGAATATCTAACCTCCGTTTTTCGAACGGTCCGGTTTTAATTCACCGACGAGACATTCCGACGAGCGTAAATAAACGAGCTGAGGGAACGAAGTTTCCGCGATCTCGCTCATCGTGCTCCGAGGGCGTTGCAATAAGGGCTCCAGTCGATAATTCATTTTGCAAGCCTCGGAAAGATTACGCCGTACGCCGACCGGAAATCTCTCCCTTTGACTTTTTCACCTTCGGCAACGTGCGTGCGGCGGACACGCCGCTGCATGTGGCATTTTAGCGCTGAAGGGCTTGTACTACGCGGACACCTCAATTATTAAAAGTTCCGTTTGCGAACGGGGTCAAACGCGCGTATAACCGCGAGCGTCGCGAGAGAATCAGCCACCGGATGCAGTTTACAAAGGCATAAAAGTTCCGGGGGACTGGATGTAACTTTCCGCGTTACTGTAACTAATATCGGAAGTTTCGCGATACCCTTTTTTTCCTTTCAGCCCGTTACTACTCTTTGGAGCTCCCGCAAAGAAGCGCTGTGATGCTTTTACCGTATACCGTTCTTTAAACGCCATTCGTTTCCAATGTTCCGATATGTAATTTATCTAAAATCTGTTTCGAACCCTCTTTCCCTCACTACTCAGCGGACGGTGCGTCGCGAATCATTTTCCCCGGTGCTTCGCAATATTTCACTCGAATATACCCGTCTGCACATTGCAGCGTCATTTTTTGTCGCGCGTGCAATTTCGAGCGAGGCAGCCAAAAGAATATGCGTTGTGATAATAAAGAACGGAGTCTCTCCCTCTCTTCCACTTACAATGTCCGCAGGAAAGTCAGATTTTCCCAAGAGCGAGCACACTCGTCACAAGCGACGATGATCATGAAACAACTGTAACAACTTCTCCAAGTAGCTCGCGAAGAAACACACCTTCGTCGCGGCTGGCACAATTACGAGGAATGCAAGTCGGAGTGCAAACAAACGGTTGTTCACCGGCATCGAGAGACGTTGGGAGAAATTCGGCGAATTTTCAAGTGACAGCGACGGCCAACCGCGTGTGTCAATCCACGCGTTCCGCTTCTTCGCGCGAGAAAAAATCAGCGAGCCGCGTCGGTTAACCGCGCAGCACGGTGAATGGCATCGCTCTCCGGGAAAATAATTTGTCTCGCGTCGACAGTCCCGAGAGGTCTTGCGCACACCACGCAGGTAACGTCCATAAGGCGTATGTGACGTCGGCGCACGTGTGTGGCATGGAGGAGACGACGGCGGGGTGACGAAGCGAGAGAGGCGGCGAGGTCGTATCGGAGCCAGTGAAGCTGAAGCCTCATTATTGGGGGATTACGGTTCATTAATTCCGATCCAGCGTTCTGAACTGCACGCGAAAAGGAAAAGCCGTCCCGAGCGGGTATCATGCGGGGAGCGTTTGAAGCCGCCGCCGCCGCTCCTCCTTGTTCGTTATGTCTGTCCTACGTGTCGTTAAGGCTGCCCCTTTAAAAACGTCGATATTAAAGCTTCCATTATGATTTCATGAATCGACCGACGTGGATGCGTTTTATCCGCGTATTGTCTGCTTGAATTTCGCTCGCTTCAAACGCGATACCTTCTTCTCCACTCTCCCTCCCCTCTTTTATTTTCTTTCAGTCGTCGCGTCGCTTCCCATTAACCGGGATCGATGGGGGCAGCCCTAAGGTAAAAGTTGGCGTATCTCCGCCCGATACTTGGGGAGCGCCTCGACGCTCGGGCTTAGCTCAGGGGGCCACAATATTGGGCAGGCTTGCCAACGGAATGAAGCAATTACCTGCTGATTGGAGGCTCTCCCGCACCATCACACTTGCCAATCCGCTAGACGGTAATTTCAATAGATACAACTGGAACCGCAAGACCGGCCGGAACGCCGATTGCCCCTCGTCGAACCGGATGATGCGAGCGCGCGCCCCAATTTGCTCATATATTTCAAATTACAAATTACCGTCCTGGCTTGAAAATCAGTCAAACGCGGCTAATTGGAGCAGATAATAACGCTGCAAGATCCTCGCGAAAGGAGCGGCGGCAGTGGGGGAAGGGGAGGAAAAAAATGCCACTTTGCGCGTTATGTAATCGAGGAAACATCTCACTACATAATTTCACGCGCATAAAACATTATATGTGCGCCCGATGTATATGTAAAATAGTATCGCCGATATTTCGTACGATCCTATTTTCCCGACTGCTTTCAACAAACGTCCTCCACGGTCGTCCGCTCTGTCCCATCCGCCGGTAATGACTTGTCGTAACGAAGACGTAGAACGAACGATAACAACCGTCGTGAAATCCTACTGAAATTGGCGCGCTCGAGTGCGCGGACGCGGAAATCAATTATTAACGTTAACATCGCGCGTCCTTTGTTGATCGCAAACGTCGCCAGATACGTTCGTATCGACTCGACGATATCACCTTGTAACGGAGGGAGGAGCCGGCGCACAATGAGGAATCACGACAAGAGCCTTATCGTACGAATAATCGCTTCGAATCCCGCAGTAAGGACGGGATCTTGCTGATGGGCTCCCAGACTCTCACGGTCGATCGCGCTTCTTTTCCACGGTCGTCCATTCTCTCTCCGGAGATTCGGCCACCGTCGTCCTGGCTCCCGATACACGCGGAAGATCCGCCAAACAAGTAACAGTTGTACTGGAGATAAAAGCAATGCAATTACGAGGCCGCCGAGGGAATTACTCAGGGAATGTCTTTAATTAAATGTTGGGAGCAGTTTCCGAGCCTTCCGTTAATGCAGAGACAATTTCC